TGCTCAGTGATTGTTTAAATCTTTTTGTAAAATTGAGAACTGACTTCTTGATTGGGTATTTGAAGTCAACTTTGGCTAGTCCGGGCGACGTTAGGGGTTACGTAGGGCAGGACACATTTTATGTCAAAAAACAACAAACCAAAAACGTTATTTCTGAAAGAGATGAAACATCTAAAAACTGGACTTCATAATGAAGAAAAGATTGATCAAAATTGAACCAAAATTAAAGAATTTAGGAGGTGCACATCTTCCGTGGGACACCCTTTTGCTGAACGGCTACTAGGTTACTTATTGGATCCTTCTCCGCTAGATTTTTTTAAATTATTCAAACAGATTTCTATATTTCACCAACTGTAGTGAAGAATTCACAATTGAAAAAATATGGAAAATGTTTAAGTAGTTTGTATGGTATGGATCAAATGGATCTCATGTCAGCTAATTGAAAGTTTTCTGAAAGAGAGAGGACAGGAAGTCTACTACAATGGCGAAGCATCGGATCCTGTGACCCGCAGGGTTTAGCTGGCATCTGTCAGTAATGACTAGGGGCTTTTTTCAAATGATGCAGGACATTAAGTCCTATAAAAATATTGATCATGAAGCTACACAGGCTGTATGCAAGACACAGCCGGGAATGCAGCAGTGGCTGTCATGCAACAAAACTAGTCACACTGGTTTACATTAAAAAGTCTTACTAGTAGCAAATTAGAGATTAGGGATACGGTCACCAAAACAAGTAAGTTTTGTAACTTATGCCAAGCTTTCAACCTTTATTGAAGTCTTCATCAGGGCTCTACAAGTAATTACAACATAGAAATGATATGAGTGCGGTGTTCAATCCTATTAAAAAGATAGTTCCTACTCATAATAAGTTGTTTTACAACGATCCGAATTTCGAGCTTTTAGCTCATCTTCAGGTTGAAGGAGTTCTACAACTACGTCTCACGACCTGATGATGAGTTAAAAGCTCGAAATCCGGATCGTTGGAAAACAACTTACTGTAAGTAGGAACTGTCTTTTTAAAAGGAGTAATTACACATTTATAATTAATAGTAATTAACACAATAATTATCAGATAACATTGGATAACTTACTCGTCACAATATTAAAAGTAAAATACTTTAATGATAACGATAAAAAAAAATTAAAAAATACATTTATATGTAACCACATGAGAGGTAAACAATTGTGGGCAGCTGTAGAAGGCGCTAAGATTATTAATATCACTTCTCGAATTTAGGGAATTAACATCAGATTTAATATGTAAAATTTCTTTTAATAATCTTCTGTCCAAGATTTTCTCCCTGTCAACCACAACAACATCATCAAAATTAATTTCATTATGATGCCTTGACAAATCTGTTTCTGGCGAGAGAAAGCCAACGTAGACAATCTTAAAGGCAGATCAACAAACTTTATTTTGTAAACATTTTCCTACCCACCTTACTTTTATATCTTTCAATTAATTAAGGTTTTTAGTTGAGATAAAAAAGTCAGTGTCATGAGCGGGGATTCGAACCCACGACCTTCGGGTAGATACACCGGTACTCTACCACCTGAGCTATCTTGACTTCGATCCACTCGGATACTAACTTCGCAACTCAAAACTTTACCTTTTTAATTTTCCCTCCTTTTTGCCATTTTTCAAATTAATTGAAAGATATTAATTGGTCAAGCGGACCACGAAAACTACTGAACTTACTTTTATATTTGAAAACGACTTTTGAATTGTTGAGATGGCTCCCCAACATAAAACTAATTTTTTAGAAGCATCTCCAATGCATACCAAAGGAGAAAATCTCTACCCGATCCCCGCTAACTCTGTTGTCAGGATGAGGTAACTTATTTTGTGAAATACGTTTCTTAATCTGGGATGCTGGATAACCATTATTTTTCAATATGGATATGATCTCCCCACCCCCGTGAAAAGAGATATCACTCAATCTAAATGCCCTGTCAATGAGATTAAGAGCCAAATTTATTTTAATTTGGAATCTAGAAAAGTGTTGTTTTGAAAATCATGTACAAAATTTTAAATATTTGGGTTGATATTATTTAGATTAAATTTTTTTCTTGGAATGAATTTCTTGGAATCACTCTTAAAAAAATTCAACATATTGAGGTTGTAATATATAATTGATATTATATATTGATATAGTATCAGAAAGCTAAAAACTGATTTAGAAGATGATGGCTTGTTAATGGCTTATTATGGAATTTTCCATTCATTGCTAGCTTATGGTATTGGTTTATGGGGAATTGCAAGCAGTTACAATAATATTGTTCTTTTACAAAAGAATAAAATAAATAAAAAAGCAATACCCATTATAACAGGTTTAATGAACATTTGAACACATTTTAACGAACCATGCAAACTGTTATTTTGTAAATATAGAATTTTGAACTATTTATTCATTAATTATTCAGAAATCGTGAGATGCGGTCTGGTGTGATGTAGGTTTCAGAAAAACATTTCCTTTATCGTGCCAACGTTTCGATCTTTATTGAGATCATCTTCAGTGCCTGGGATTTACAAACATTGTTTACATATAACAACTACATTTTGGATGCGGAAAAGTGAATTTATACAATGCAAAAAATATTTTTTTATATTCAAAGTATTTCTATTCACTCTGTGTGTTTGTCTTCTGTGTAATTGTGCCATTCTTGCGTGTCGTGTTGGGAGTGCCAGTGATATATTGATGTTTTATGTTTATATACGTTGGATTTTGAAGGGGTGGGGAAGGAAGTCAGTATAGAAAAGACATTTTTGTATAAGGCGTCGGCTTCTTTGAGGTGAAAAAAGCCGACGAAGGGAAACAATGTGTTGGTAATGGTTCGGCCAGATTATCCTTTCAGAATTATATATTAAGGGATAAATAGGAAAAGTAAAGCTAAATTGTTCGACAATATGTATGTTATCTATATTGAATTTGATTAATGATATTGGCCTAGCTGCGACTGAGTTTACACCTATCTGTTCTGTAATTGATGCTGTGTTTATCTCTGTTGATATAAACCATTTCTAAGAAATTACGTTTATGTTTGTTTTGTTCTGTATGTAATATTTTTGGATTTTTGAAGTGGAAATTGTGTTGGTGTTCAAAATGGTGGGTAGCGAGTGCTGTAGGATTTTGCTTGAGTTTTTTGCAATCATAGATATGTTGCTTTACTCTCTTGCCTAGATATTGGGATGTAACACCGATGTAAGTTGCCGGATAGTTTAAACAGTTGATCTTGTAGATTACGTCATATTTATTTGTTATTGGTGTGGGATCTTTAATTTTGGAAAAAAGTGTTTGGATTGTTTTATAATTTTTGAAAGCTATTTTGAAGTTATCGAACACGAGAAATGTGTTTAATTTATGTGTTAGGCCTTGGATAAATGGTATGGACATGTATGCTGGTTTGTTTGTATTCGATAGACTTAATGTAGTATTATTAGTAATAGTGGATGGTGTTAGTGTTGGGTTGTAATTGTTGATTATTCTGTTAATTATGTGTTTAGGGTAGAGATTGTTATGGAGGATCTGTTTGTATATCTTTATGTTCTTGTGGTGAAATCATTCATGGCTTAGGGTAATCATTCTGTGAAATAACCCTTTGGCCGTGTTTATTATTGTATGAAGGGGATGGTGAGATGTAAAGTTGAGGTAGCGATCTGTATTTCTTAGTTTTTGATACCAATCAGTGATTAATGTGCCATCTTGTTGTTTTATTACGAGTGTATCTAAAAATGGTATTTTTTTGTTGTTTTCGATTTCATGTGTAAATTTGGTGAAAGCTATTAAATGTATCTTATGTAGTTTGAATTTGATCTGTGGGAACTGCTGTTAATATATCATCTACGTATTTAGTGTGATGTGAAAGGAAGTGGTATGACTGTAGTATTTATTCATTGTACATTTTTTACAATTGAAAATATCGAGTCTTAAAACTAATGAGGACACACATAATTATTATCTGAAAGACATTGATAGCATATGTTAATTTGCCATGGTTGAAAAAAAGCCAAACAAAACAGTTACGTACCTTCTAATTAGGGTTTACAAATTAATTCTAAAAGGACTAAGGACCTCATGAAAACGTCTGCAAAAATTAAAAGCGCTTTATGAGGTAAAATTACTTACAGTGTAGAAGACAGTAAAAACATGTTTTTCCATCTGATATGGGTATAACATAAAATGTTTAACACAAATAAAAAAATATCCAATCTAATAACACATTTATGCTTTTTATGAGTTTATTATTCCCGTTCGGTTTTAGTAATATGTATTAGTTTGAATTGGTTTCTTATTTTATCTACGCTTAATGTTTTTTACCACTATTATAATTATTAATATTGGCTTGAAAGTGAAGGAGAATTCGGGAATTTCTATTTCTTGCGGTCTTCATTTACCAAGGTGTATTTTATTTAATTTAAAACTAGAAAAGAACTTTGACATTTTTATTTGATTTATGATGTTTAGAATAATTGTTGATAGTGAGGTGAGCTTGAAAGGGATTTAGAATTCCTACTTATCTCGGGTCCGTTTGTTCGCGCTCCTACACGACAGACAGATGTGGTATTGGTTTGAAGTTCTCTTGCGAAATAACTGACATAGATATGAACAGAAAGTATGAAACAGCTGGTCAAATTTTACCCCAAAATCCAACCGAAATCGGACATACACAGTAAACCTACACCGTTGGACAATGTTAATGTTAAAATTTGTGGCATAACAGACACGGGCGTAATTCACGTTCGCAAGCCGTGGACGATTTGTTTCCTACGAAAATAAAAAAGAAATCGTCCTGATATCCAGTTGTCGATAATCGTTTAAACCCGGCGGCTGGGCCTGTTTAACTTTAAGTCGTCTCCTCACTTCAAACTCTCCTTATCGTCGAATTAGATCTGGAGACGGAAGACGACAGGGGGGGCAGCGCCCCCGGGGTTCCGAGCCTGCGCATTCCCGCCCCCGGAGGATTTATATAGCAGTCGGGGGCGGCAAACGGCCAAAGGATCCCGATCCGTCGACATGTTTACAACACCCCTTCGAATCGTACTCACCGCCGTACTCATCGCCGAGGTACTTATAAAATATTTTTACTAAATCGACTCACAAACTTGCTTTTATCAAGTCCCAACTTGCTTATATTTCTTTGGGGAAAAAATATCATTGTTGTTTTTTTAAGCTTTTTGGAATACAACGATCAGACATATCGCATGTAGTTGGCAAATTGTTCTTGTGGGTTTGTTTTTAAATTTGTGTGTAGCTTTTAAAAAATCGAATTAATACATGTTTCACTTGCTTATTTTTTCGTTCTTCTTACTATCAGGTCTAATATTTTAAAAACACGTGGTTCAGTACTGAAATACAATTTAACTTGAAAAATGACGCGAAATTAACCCAACTTTAGTTACTTGAAATACCCAAAAAAACATATTTTTAAAAATTCAAAATATTCTATTTCTACCAATAATCTTAATATCAATTCATTTTTTCCCAAAACATAAACGTATTTTTAAGTAAATTTCCTGTATTATTGCACATGTGGATATTTTCAAGTTAAGATTAAATAAACTATATTGTTTTTAATTACTAGTATATATTTTTATCCACTACAATAACATTTTTAAAAATTCAAAATATTCTATTTCTACCAATAATCATTATATCCATTATATAAACTCTCATGTTTGCCCAAAATATAAGTGTGTTTTTAGGTAAAATTTCCTGTATTGATTGCACATTTCGATATTTTCAAGTTAAGATTAAATAAACTATACTGTTTTTAATTACTAGTATATATTTAGTTATCCACTAGAATACCATTTGTCTATACTATAGAACATTTAAAAAATATAACTTCTTTATTGAGATTTTATCTAAGTAATTTTTGATGTGGGAAAAAGGTTTTAAACTTCAAAAACAGAGCATTTTTTTAAAAAAAAAGAGATATTGATTTCGTCAACAACTTTTCTCTTCTCCACGTGTTTAAACGTTATAAATAAACATTAAAAAAGCTTTATTTCTCTCACGAAAAAGCGGTGTTATAAAGCCTGGATTACAAAAAGATCAGCCGGCCAAAATATAGGGAGCATTACGCAACCTCCCCTCGTGAATTTCAACAAGTTGCGCCGCCTATTAAGGGGAGAAGGTCATACGAAATTTGTTTGTTTATGTTGTCCATATTGTGATGCAAGGTGTCAAACGCAAGACGCGTATATTTCGTGTAAATTTATGAAAAATGTTAGAAACTTCAGCATAAGAATCAATTAAAACAAATTGATTACAGGAAAAAGTGGTTATTTCAACTAGTTCCATTCTGACAACACATCACACTTGTTGCATAATTGACTGTGCATTTTTCTGTTTAGTTAATGTACAATACAGATAATACTACTAATAATAAATCATTATTATATATAGTGCTTTAATCTAAATTTTATTTAGAAGCTAAACATTTATATTCAAATTTTCCATTCAAATATATAAAAAAAATAATCATAATAATTTATTGATTCGTGTTCTTTTATTCCCAGTATGGCTTAAATAAAAAAAAGTTAACTGCCTAAAGCATCAGCCAACAATAGAAAAAAAAAGTTGTACGATAGATGTAGAAAAAATGCATAAAATTTCAATATGGTTATCTATAATTGGCAATGAAGTTATAGTAGGAATAATATTTTTCAAATAGTGTATTAGATAGATGTATAAATCGGGGTATGCATTCTCTGCGCTCTTTTTAGAAGCTATTTTATCATCGGTTCTGTGCTTAAAGCACACCGGTAAGTCCCAGTTCATCAAGGTATTTGGTTAAGTAGGCACGGTTTCAGTGAATATGTGTTTCATTATTCAACATTTTACATAACACTTATTTGTCCAAATGTAAAATTTATTAGCCGTGTTGAAAAATGGTTTGCTTACATTGTATTTTAAATATAAGCACGTTTAGAACCCATGATCAATTGAATTGACGAATAAAAAACAAATCATGCTAAAAGTCTGAAAAATTTCCTAATTTTTCATTCAGAGGATCAAGCAACCTGTTGTGTTTACTAATCCCCCTAACGGTTTTATGTCTTGCTAAACACAAGTTTTAATTTTATATTCGATATTCAACATACTATTTTCAAAATTAATAAAATATTAGTCATTAATTGTTTACAATACTAACAAATTGGTTGTAGTATCTGCTGAAGATTTGTGCTTTATATGGAAGAAAAAATATCTAAATAGAAAATCGTTTCTTTTGCCGGATTCAAGCTGGTTGTAGATTTTATTTTAAAGTTAAACATCATGGTAATAATTTTATGTTTATTTTTAAAACGTGTATTTTATATTGGGCATTAGATTTCAATAATCATTTAAATTTTCTTTTGATTGAGACGGATAATATTGTACAAAAAAGTACTTTAAATCACAATTCGGCATAGTTAATCATGAAGATATTTTTTAAGAAATATTTTGACAATTTTGTATTGAGAAATCATAGTTGATACAGCTATGGATGGCTTGTTCGGTGGTTCGGCGCCTAGATTTGTTCGAATCCATCCAAGCGCTTCTCATCCTCGGCCGCCAATTGTCCAATTGGTTTAAATTGAAATATTTTAAAAGTGCAGATGCCTGTAGCACTGAGGGTGTTCAGGGTCACCGCGGATAAAAGCTTCATTCAAAACATTTGACAGACCCGATTCAGAAAGGGGAGATTTCCGTAGGAAAACATTGAATTTAACGGTTTGTTATTCCATCCTGATTCCTATTCGATCAGACATCACATAGTGCATTTGTTCCAGTAATTTAGGTGGAAAAGGTTTTATTACCTGTTATTGCACAATTGATACAATCGGGCTGTAAGATTTTGTTTTTTTAAATGTAGAATATTTCTTGGAAAAAAGGATCTTCTATGAGGTCACAACAGAACGACAATTCTTTAAGTTTTGGCCGAGCTTTCGACGATTTCGTCACTTGTAACGGTAAAGCCACCTGAGCCTCATGTCTCTTCCTTGTGGTAGAAGTTAGCACTTTAATTTAAGTTACCTATATATAGTACAAAGTTTTTTTATTTAAAAAAAAGAAAAAAGCTTAATTAATCTTAACTGGGATGTTCCTGAGAAAAGAAGTAATTTTATTAAAAAAAGAAGTATGTACTGATATTTATATTTTAACCGAGATATTGAGCGAGCTTCACCTAAAAATTTAAATAACCTAATCATAAATGCAGTTTTTTGTTCTCAAGATATATTTCATCATATAATCGTCGAAAGCTCGGCAAAAACTTAAAGAATTGTCGTAGTGTTGTGGCCTCATCGAAGATCTTTTTTTCCAAGTTGTTCAACAGCAGGGGATACTTCATCATTAAAAAAGTAATGAAAAACTTTCAAATATTTTTTGCTTATAATAGGCCTGTCTTAAGATATTGTTTACACTCTCTTACGCAGTGAGAGAAAGCTCAGCAAAATCTTAAGGAATTATCGTTCTGTTGTGACCTCATCGAAGATCCTTTTTTCCAAGTTGTTCAACAGCAGGAGATACCTCAACTTTAATTTCTCGCAGAAGGTTTCATTTCAAAGTTCTAAAATGAAGTTCATAAAAATAAGCACACGAAATATTATATATTGCCAGGTCGTTTAATGCTTTTGTTACTGACTAAAATTTTTTAAATCGTATATGCAAGTTTTTATTTTTATTTCTACTTTTCTTTTTAGAAAAGTAACGAAAAGTTTTTCAAATATTTTTTGCTTATAATAGGTCTGTTTTAAGATATTATTTACACTCTCTTACGCAGTGAGAGAAAGCTCGGCAAAAACTTAAAGAATTGTCGTTCTGTTGTGACCTCATCGAAGATTCTTTTTTCCAAGTTGTTCAACAGCAGGTCGATACATCATCTCATCTTTAATTTCTTGCAGAAGGTTTCATTTCGAAGTTCTAAAATGCAGTTCATAAAAATAAGCACACGAAATGCAATATATTGCCAGCTCGTTTAATGCTTTTGTTACTGACAATTTTTTCAACTGTATATGCAAGTTTTTATTTTTATTTCTACTTTTCTTTTTAAAAAAGTAACGAAAAGTTTTTCAAATATTTTTTGCTTATAATAGGCCTGTTTTAAGATATTATTTACACTCTCTTACGCAGTGAGAGAAGCTAGTTTTATGTTTAATTACTTTGTAATTAATGTTTTGAATGCTTGGGTGGAGATGAAAATGTTTTTACTTCCACCCTCAACTCGCTTGCCTAACGTTGTTTGGTTTAGTGAGCACATTCGGAAACTTTTGCCGAAAAGTATTTGACACAAATTTCTTCTTCTTTGCCTTTTCGCCGGTGATCTTTTATAAAGAGGATTTCAACACACATTTGCGATGGAATCATCAGCGCTGATGGCAAAGCATCTGCTGACGTGAGAAAAAAACCTCCCTCTTGATATCTTATCCCGGTGTAATGACTTAGAACCCCGTCACGTCGCGCTGAAACCACATATCAAAACGCACATCACGGTGTACATTTCAGCCGGTGATAGCAACGTCTGCTAAATGCAATCTGCATACATTTGACTAGATAATGCCCCTTTATTCCACACCATTGCCGAACGGGTGAGACCAAAGTTAACGGTCTTGACGGTGTGCGGATTTTAAATTGCTATGTAATTTAACTGTAAAAATGATTGTTGTCTTCATGGGCAACAAACAACAACAAATTGGCTTTGAAAGGGGATCCGCTTCAGTGCCATAGAACAGCCCGTGTAACATCGTTTCAACCATTCCTACATATACGCCTACATATTTATAGCCTCCAATTTTTTTTTATCTCTGAAAGACCAATTAAAGTTATTGATATGATCAAAAATGGCTGTATTACTTTTACACCATCCTTTGCAGAGAATTTCACAAGATTGAATTGTTCAAATGTGTAAGTCCATAATTTACATATATGATTCAATTTCAACTAGTATTCCTGGAAAGCAGTAATTCTTTAAGAATGAGATAATAGTAACATTTCTAATTGTCTTTCAATTAATTAAGGTTTTTAGTTGAGATAAAAATGTCAGTGCCACGAGCGGGATTCGAACCAGCGACTTTCGGCTA